AGTCACCATGTGCAAATAGCTACAAACTGCTACAACTCGCCAACCCTCAAGTCAGATCACCTTTTAGACGTATATTTTCTCGATCTGGTCCAGACAGATTATCCAGGTTTCACTGGTGATGAAAGATACCAGTGTTTGATTTTGATTCGAGTGGGATATCCGGAGCCATCATTGGAAGACCTGCCATGTTCCATGGTTTAGACACACACAAAGAGCTGAGGGATAGAGCTGCTGTACTAAGTCGGCTAAATACATTTTTGTCCCAGAAGGGGAAACCTCGTATCTGTTCGATAAGGCATGAGATCCAGACCTTAGATCCACAGAATGCGACATGGGGACTGAGCTGTAACTTTTAGAATGTAGAGAGCAATGGAAAGGAGACCCTCACCAAGCAGATTATCAAAAGATATCGGTCCTTACGGGATTAAATATCTAATATGTTTAACCTTACATAATATACAAAGTAATCGCTAATTCTGATACAGCGTATAATTTGCATCTTCTTGCTAGAGCTGGGCGAGGGTGTCGGGCATAGAGTGTTATAAGTCACTACCCAGTTACCGTGTATAAGCGTAAAGTTATATGGCTAAACCTAATAGACGAGTTTAGATACGACTTCTTTGCTTGCGCATCGTTGATATAGAATCATCATCTCAAGGCTAAGCGCGACCTTGTGATTAGTGGTTACTGCGCAGAGAAGTTAAACATTATCATGCAGAAAGACTGCAGTCTATTGTGTATTTATTAAACTAATAGATCGCTTGAAGTGCTGGGGTATAGCTGATAGGCAATGTGCCATTAAACAAGATTAGATGAGACTCCCGCCAATGCATGCACTCCGATCTGGCCTAAACTTCATGATAGACTTTTCTAGTAGACTCCGCCTTGCAATAACTCTCCGCTCGTTGAGACTGTTCGACTACGATGACAGCGCTAAGCATGCATCAACAGCTAGGCCGACACTGGGGAAGTGGATTAGCACATTGAACTGATAAGGGAATTAAAGGATTACATACCGGCCCTCCTTCTGATAGACAACATCGCTGATGATCTCCTTGTCAAGATCTGGGAACATGCCGGCTAGTGTTTCGACAACATTTGCGTGTTCTGCGCGGTGTAGTCGTTGTGCCTCTGCTGCTTCGGCGCTGGCTTGTCTAGCGGCAGCCTCCTCAGCAGAAAGCTGGTGACCCGAAGCTGGCCGTGACCCATCCCCACTGGGACGTGGAGATAAGCCTTCTGGCTGCGGTGTGTGGGCGGGACTGCGAGCACTGGTACTCGGGCCAGCGGTCGGCTCATCGGAGAATATTCGACCGATGCTGGAGAGAGGCTTCTGAATCGACCGGAGAAGCCCACTGATAGCGGCCTTCTCGTCATATTCGGAGCCTCCTTCATTAGAAGACGTTGAGCGTCTTGGTGTAGCAGGGCGATCTACATCTAGTGAAGGTCGAGTAGATGATGATTCCCCCGGTGTAGGAGGCTTGAGAGTCTGCGAGGCCTTTTCTGACTGCGCTGAGAGAGGCGGAGACTCGAGACGATGCTTTTCCGCAATGGCTGAAACTGCCGCCTCCACATTGTTCTCGAACTCTTCGTCCGTGATGGTGAGAGTCGTCCGGTCCATATTCTCGATGAATTGAATGGCTCCCATCTACTCTGATTAGCCAACGAAAAGAGTAGACCGCTTCGGAGAGCTTACGAGCGATGAAAGGTAGTAGCCCGCTTCACCACCAAGTTTCTCTTGGTTACGGAACCGAAGTATGTACTGGACATTAGAAACAAGATGTTCTGGATTCGCTTGTAGTACAACATATATAAGCATGGGCATAAACGAGTCTGCTGATGAATCTGATTTGGAGTGCTTCAAGAGGCCTTCTTCGGGTCAGCATAAGGGTAGAAAAACAGCGAGTACCAAGCGCAATCGCAGTGACGTACCAAAAATGACTTTGCAGCAATTCAAAACGCATATGATTTTGTCCCTAGGGGCGCGGTACGATTTTATCTTCAAGAGCTCTGCTACGGTTAGCATCGTAGCACAAACAGGATATTTCATACATACCTTGCTGAGCGAGTCTTAGAAAACGCCTCCCGCTATCACCTACAGGCGGAATATCGAGATGCTCCTCCTTGACCCAACCGTAAATGTTGATCTTCTGCGCCAAAATCTCGTCACGTTCAACATCCTCCTGATGCTGTCCCCTTCGACCGGGGCCCATAGGCCGTTCACCACCTCTGCGTTTAGGTTTTGCGCCAGGTATCGGTTGTGGTGGTGAGATTGCCGGGGAGAATGTCTGAGAGTAGAGTCTATTCATGACCAGCTTCTCCATACCTTCCCGCGCATTATCGAATTCAGCGTCAGATACGTCCCGCCAGACCTCGCACTGCGCCATCTTATTCGCGATGAAAGCGAGAAAGTCGCTGATAATCTTCACTTGCTCGTGTACCATCCACTGCTTCTTTCCAAACTCTGACAAGAATGACTTTAAATACCTTGCGACAGGATCGGCTTTTTTGTTGCGAAGTTGTTCGAGAAACCTGTGGAAATCGAATGCCAAAGTGGGCTCAGGCTCTGGTTCTGGAGGCGGTGGTCGGTGTAGTGGCATAGTTGGGGACATCGGTGACTCCTGGATGCTATCTGAGCTGAAGCCTGGTGAAGCAGGGCCAAAGGAAACGTCCTTAGGAGGGACGGGGGGGCCCTTATCGTCATGGTCCTTCCCTTTAGATCTAGTGCTCGCTGGTGAGCCAGTAGATAAGCGGAGGCCTTGCATATCTTGTAGCTGCTGGGCAATGCTTGGGGCCAAGGGCTCCAGACTCGACTTCCGTGGTGGGTGTTGGGACGGTCCAACACCTAGCAGTGGGGAAGCTATCTCGAGACGTGGACTCATGACCTCTTCAGCACCAGGACCACCTCCCGCCTCGCTGAACTGCTCCATGATACTCTGAATTTCTGACCTTGAGCCGTTCTCTTGCTCGTCTTCACTCATATATCGTTTCTCATCGTATGCGGCATCGGATCTGGTCGGAGATGACTCTGAGCTTTGTCTCGAGCGAGGCGCGGTAGTCGAGTGAGTTCTCGAGGGAGGTTGAGATGCCATAGGCGTAGGTGGTGTCGGGTCTACATATGGTACGGTTTCTATCGTGAGATACTGAGGCGTGGTGGTGGTCGGCGTGGTTGGCTTCAGCGTCGCTAATGATGAAGACATGGCCTCGCCACCATCGCCAGCCCGAATTTTGTCATCGCCTTGGCCAGTTTCTGGTAGTTTCCCATGAATTGTACTTTCATTTGTGTCTTTGGAAACTGATTTCGATGGATCGTCACCAAAGTCGATTAAATCCTCTGATTTGCCGGTTTCCTCCTTGGCCGAGGTGGGATCAAGTTGGGACGTCATGTTGTCTTCAACTATTGGGCCAGAGCCCTTCAACTCTGTTGACACTACTGGCTTTAGCTCCGGGGAGCTCGTGGATATCTCTGAGGACACCTTCCACCCATGGTCAGTTTGATCTGGCTGGTTTGAGAGGCTCGCCGGCGGGTCGGGAGGCGACATGCATGCACATATGCTGGAGCTTCGATCGGAAGGGTATCGTTGTTGAAGAGCTGGAGCTCTGAGCTGAGGAGCTCGAGGCGATCACCAACACGCCAGGGCGGGGTTTGCTGCTGGCCAGAATGGTCTTGATTGAAGTGCAAGCCTTGTAACAGAATCAACGGCCGGATCTCGTTGAGGCCGTCTATCTTTATGCTTGTTACGCTGCCACAGGACGCGGGGTTGTTTGGGATCTGTGCTGATGACGGTTGCTTGCGAAACATTGGCATGCTAGATGGGGCCCGGATCATAGGCGAGCCCATCATAGGCGCTAACGTACATTTGCTCCCCGGAGATGCGACATTGTTTTCCCGGCACGCACCCCACCTAACTCGAGCATTGTTTACCTATTTATAGTAGGCGCGTCCGCCCGAACTACTTCGAGTGCCTTCTCTAGGGCCGTTCCAGCGTGCCACCGTTCCAGGAGATACTTCAAGCTCTTCACAAAACATGGCCCAAGCGTCAAGTAGCTTTCAGATCCCACCTTACTATACTTAATTAGGCCAGGGTTAGGGTTAGGGTTCTCTTCAAAGTGTAGAAAACCCTCTCATTCCCAAAATGGCCACAAAAACATGCTAGAACGGCGCAAAGGTATTCGATTACAATGACCGCCATTCCAGTATGTTTTCTTAGCATATAAACCGAATTGAGGCCGTTCTGATACCACTACTAGTACGGTACATTGTAAATAGGGGTGGTTTTTGGTGAAATGCTTGCATAAGGCGTTAGTCGCCGTTCTGAGCGGTCAGCCCGCATTATGCACACAAAATTACTGCTAATTGCGGCTAGTCTGCTCGGACAATGAAATTCGGCTATTTTGTGCATGCCAAGTGGCCACCTGGAACGGTGGTCATCTAGACCGGCGCTCAGCCAATCAGGGCCTAGTAGGGAATGACAATATTCAGAGTCATTCACAATAACAATCACTATGCACTGCCAGAACGATACAACCTTCAGACGGACGCTGAATCACTGTTCTCCAATAAAAAGGCTTTGAAAGTAGATTAGGACGATGTGATGAGTATTTACGGAGCACTAAGCAAGTGCGAAAGCCTTTCCTATGTACAACCAATCGAAACAAGATATTTATCGAGAAAAAGAAAAACCAGCTTAAAGACGAACAGGGGTATTGAGACGTTGCTCTAACAGCTTGCTCTGCATGCCGTCGACGGACAGTAGCCGTGGGCACAGTCAAAACTACAGAGGCCAATATAGCTGTCAGGCTCACCGGCAAGGGGGCATCCTGGCGCTGCAACCTCCGGGCTTGACACCGGCGTGCCGTACGAGGTGCAGACGCAAGGCCCCGCAGGACAGTAGCCATGGTTGCATGCGAAGTCGCAGAGTCCTGAGAAGTTGAGGGACTCGCCAGGAGCAACGGTGCCGCCATTGCATGTCCCAGTCGTCTGACTTGGCGGGACCGTAGAACTAGTCTGGGTCGGGGCCTTGGATGTTGTGCTCTTCAGTGTGCTTGACGGCGCGGCGGTCGTTGTGGCCCCGACTGATGCTTTTGAGGTCGTTGTGGAGGGCGAACTGCCACCGGCTCCGGTTGTTGTTGGCGTTGATCCGCCTCCAGTCGCTGTGCCCAAAGATGGCTTGGCTTGGCAGGTTGTGACGTGTAGGCCAACAGTCAGCGAAGCAAGACCATCTGTTCCAAGCGGATCAGAGAAGCCATCGGGCACAGTGCCAACATATGCGTTGAAGTTATAGATGCCACATATGCAGATCTCTGAGATGTCCTTCAAAGATGTCGAGCTCATGACTACCTTTGAGTTGCGGCTGAGAGAGAATGTCTGCTTGCCTACCGCCATGGGCACCTGGAATGCAGCCGCTCCTGCTGGGGCATTAAAGGTCTGCGAGTTCTTGCCCGAAGTGACGGTGACTGTCCCGGCAGAGGTGAGGAGCGACACGATAAAGACAGCATCCTGCATTGATTCGTAGCCGTTTGGTCTACCCATGAAGTAATTACCGCTGTCATTGTTGGCTGTAACCATTGTTGTATCCGTTGCATCACAGTTCAAACCGGCCAACGTCGGGCGGTACCAGTAAACAAGCTGGTCAGATGTGATATAATCATTCACCGATGTCGCCCCAGCATGATAAGCTGCGATGTAAGGCTTTGCCATATCCAACCAACCGTCGTGTGGCATATCGTTAACGAACTTCGAGCTGTTGTCGTCCCAATGCTTCGATGACAGAGGTCCAATGTAGTGCGATTCACCGTAGTCATTCCAGGTAATGATCTCAAGGAACTGGGGGCCAGTGGACAGAATCTCATTCCAACGGCGGTACCACAGGAGATCACCTGGAAAGACCCAGTTTTTGCTGTAGGAAACCTCAGGTCCGAAGTGTGTGCTGAACCAAGGAGAGACTGGTGCTATCAGGGGCTTGGAACCCAGCCACTTCTTGTAGTTGTCGTCTCCGGCTTGGACGGTGATGTTGGCTCCAGCTGTAGGAGCCTTGTTGTTACCATTGTTATCCCAGGCCATCCAGTTAAGAGCACCGTCGATGTTGGCGGGACTAGATGTCTGCTCAGGGTGGAAGTTCGGAGCCCAGAAAACATCTACACCCGCGGCAGACCTCATGGCTGCAACATCAAGACCGTCACCAGCAAATGACGAAGCGAAGACTTTATTGTCTACCTTGAGCTGTGCAGCGAGTTTCCCGTACTTGGCTATCATCTGGCCAACTGCTGCCGCGTCTGAAGAGGCATGGTACCAGTTGAAGTCAAAGGAGATGAACACATTCATTCCATTGTTGGCCGCAGACTCATAGGCATAGCCAAGCTGCGTGTCTGTGTATGGATCGACACCAATATTAAGGGCAAAGGCATCGATACCCAAAGACTTTGCCCGTTTCATGTCCGCATCGTAGTCTGCGGCACTGGTTCTATCGCCAACGATACCAATCTATGAATGTCGATATGAGTAATGACATCGAGGATCAGGTCGCATATCTACATACCATAAAATGGCAGAACACCAGCCTGCTTGTTGTTGCTCTGACATCATGTTCACTGCTAGACACCTCTTGAGACCCGGTACTGGCAGGCGCAGCCTGCGTCAGAGAAGCCGCCAGGAGGCATGCCTTGACAATGAAACGAAACTGCATGTTGATCGATAAGCGCAATGGTTGACGATGCTCAGAACTATCCAAGCGGGAGGGAGGACCATGACTTCATGTCTCTAAATACTCGTTTCAACGGAACCTCGAGGAGGCTCAAAAGGGCAAGTGCCACTGGCATGAGGGGCCAATGGAACGCTAAGGTGAAGAAAAGGGCCGGTGATGTTGAAACAAACAAAGCTATCCGCGCGACTATCGGATGTTGGGTATCGTGCTGCTAGGTACTCAGAGCTTTCTGGCTGCCGCTTAAGGCCACCACGGCGATACAAATCAACCGCATCTTTCAATAAAGCACTCTCTCATATTTGACGAGTCGTTTTACATCCTTTCTCATGCTCGCTATGGTCTGATAATCTGGCTGGTCCATGCCATTTTGAGTCGACAATGATAGTTCGAATATGCTTAAGTAGCTGATAATGTGAACCCGGGTAACATCCGCTGAGACTAAACAGCCTAGATGCCGACCTTGAATAAAGCAACGTCAGGGGTAATGAAAAGGGGGCTTATGCGGAGCTAAAGAGTCAGGAGACAAGGCTCTTGTGAGGTGAATGGCGGCGCACCACTAAAGGACCGAATCACTGCAACGTTAAATGTGAATGTAAACGCGCTCTCAACCCACGCGGGAAGGATGTTTTAACTTCTGCCAACGCTTTTCCTTTCTGCCCTCCACAAGGCACCAGATGAAACGATCTTTCAGCAGAATCACAGAGCCTGGATAACCGAGCGTGCTGATTCGTGTTCTCATACGCCGGGAGTAAGCCCTAATGCGCAGGGCTCCCAACTCTCTGTTCTGCGGCCGCACAGCGCTGCCCGGAGGCGCATCAGCCCCCTGACTTAGATCTGGATGGTGGCAGACCAAGGGGTGGTCACTGCGGGGTTCTGAACATGGCTTGAGCTTGAGACTGCGGCGCATGCGGCGTGGTGTGATAGCCAGTGGTCTTCATTCTTCTGTTACGACCCTAAGCCGTAACATCGAATTCGGACATCTATGTTGTCGGAAAAGAACTTGGGGCTGTCGCGACAGAGCAAGCCACCGATGCAGATGGAAGCTGCAACCCCCATTAGGCAAGGCGTGTTATGGCAAGTCAACGCCTCCGCGAGTCGCTGACTAGAGACAAATCTAGACGCCCTGAGATGGGAGAGATGTTCGCATTTCAGGAGGCTGAGTACTTGTTTCGTTAGTTAGCCATGATGCGATAACAGTGCCATATCCTAGCCCCCAATGTCACTAGGTTTCCGGGATTTGGCGCTTGCTCACCTGATACTGGCGCGCATACGATTATCAGTATAACGTGAGGTATCGCCTGGTCAACACTATCTGAATACTCTAGTGATGTTTATGTCAGCTTCAAATCAGCAATATAGAGATATATCGAATTAACTATGAACAAGCATCATGACCGCAGTTTCTGGTCGATGGGCGTCTAGTCGTAGATAGCGTCTTCCACCGATCACTCGACGGCCTGCATCTCAGCGGCACAGACTCCAATGGCGTTACGTTACCCCCTCTCAAGGGCCTCTCTGATCCATGTGATAAACATTTATACTACTATTCGCTTTGCAGAAAGTGCTAGACTGCTCGACCAGTGATCTCGGTCGAGTGCTAATTTCTATGTTATCATCGATATCTAACACTGAATAGAGTTTGCTCAAATGTTTATCACCTCTGTTGAACACATGGTTAAGTCCTGACTGGAAGCCGGAAAATGCATTTTATTTGGCTCTAAGTGGTAGTGCCATGCTTGCAGAACCGCGTCAAACATGCACTCATAACATGTATTGCTTCTTTCGATGACAGTAACATCGGGTTTGCCCATGGTCCCTTGATACCCTCATTCTACGTCAGTTGTAGGAGTGATATTGATGCCATTTTCCCCGCCAACAGAAACACTGCCGTCCGTCCCTTGAGTAATGCCGAGATTTCCACCGAGGTTCGACGCTTGACCATTTGCACCAACAGTGATACCTGCATTTTCGCTGAACTGCTCGGACTCAGTGACGGCCAAAACCTCCTCCGCTTCAGTAGTTGCATTTTCTTCATTGCTTTCCCCAGGTTTCTCCGCATTCTCGGTTCCTTCGACAATTCCAGACGAGCCCTTCCCGGCTGCTTGTGCTGCTGCCAAGAATGACTCAAGGGACTCGCTTGATCCATCTTGCGTTTCCTGAGTTGCCTTTGGCTGTTCTCCTCCAAGTGTCAACCCTCCAATATTCAGACCATTTCCTGCAGTACTGTTGCCTGCGACACCTTCGCCTTTTGCAGTGTTGCCACCGAGCGTGAGCCCACCAATTTGAATTCCACCGTTGACAAAGCTGATTTGCCGTCGTGACAAAGGCCTGTTTCGTTCCTTGATAACCGCCGTTGCTTTGCTCACAGGTCCTCCCTTTAACGGACTGAATTAGCAAAGTATCACGCCAACTAATAAGAAGCCGTTACATCAAGACTTACTATAAACCTTTCTTCCGTGAGCTCACAGGATACACCGAACATATATGTTCCCAGCATTGCAATGACCAACGTCATGAGATGCATCGCGAAGACTCTTTTGAAGAGCTTAGTGAATGATGATTGTTGACCGGAGTTCAATGAGCCAGTAGAGATCGTTGATTAAAGATGGAGCACAGCTCCAAACGAAGAATTTTAGGCCGTGTTCTTGTGATATGATAAATAAGAACACCATTCCCAGAGTTGTCTTTGTACAAAACCGCGACCGCAGCTATTTCTATACGCTATAAAAGAATATGGAATTTTTAAAGATCCGTATTCTTGCTCAGCAAGGAGAGGAGAGGAAGCCTGAAACGGCAGTGCAATCGGCCAAGACCGCCAAATGAGCCTCAAAAGTGTCTATTTGCTATATGCGCCAAGAAGGCTGAAGTCAGTGCCGTTCTAATTAATAGCGACCTGCTGCATCAATACGGATTCCGAGGGAACAATTGTCCCGCAAGCACATGGGATGAAGCCTTAGAAGCCTCAGAACAGGCAACTTCGAAACGCTGCTAGTATCTTGGCGGTGTTCCAAACAGGTCTACCACCTGCCCTTTAGCATTCATTCAACCCAATTCTTCGGTGATCGCAGCACTTGCACCAGATCCGATTCTGCGCTTCCCTCTTCTGGTTCAAATGAATATCTCCAAGCAGCCGTTAGCGGTAAGGACATCAAGATACTCTCAACTCTCGGCGTTGACCCAGCTAAGCCAAACTTGGTACCCCTGTCGTGTAGGAGATTGAACTCAACGTAACGGCCTCTTCGAATTTGTTGCCATTCCTTCTGTGATTCTGTGTATGGTAGGTCTTTCCGCCTCTGGATGATTGGTGTGTATATAGACAAGAACGCTTTCACAAAATCTTGGGCAAACAAGAATATGGCGCTCAACTCTATTTCAGAGCCGTTGCCGTCAAGATCATCAAAGAAGATGCCTCCAATCCCTCGTGCTTCGCTTCCATGAGTGTTCCAAAAATATCGATCGCACCACTGTTTAAAATGTGGATAATAAGAAATGTCATGTGCATCGCAAACATCTTTGATAGACGCGTGAAAATGGCGAGTGTCTTCGTCAAAAAGATAACAAGGTGTTAGATCAGTGCCTCCTCCAAACCAACAGGCAGCTACCTTTCCTTTGGAGTCGAAGACTTCCAGGAAACGACAGTTCATGTGGATGGTAGGCGCCATAGGGTTTTTTGGGTGGAGGATCAAACTCAACCCGATGGCCGAGTAGGCAAACGCATCGCCCTCGCTTCCTATTGAGATGTGATTTGCGCGCATCTGCGAAGCTGCTGCTCCACTCATAGTTCCATGGACATTGCTGATGTTGACGCCTCCCCGTTCGAATACGTTGCCGTCCTCAATCACGCAAGAAATCCCACCACCATTGTTTGATCGTGTCCACGGATCAGTTCTAAATCGCTTTTTATCGATCGTCTCCAATGCGGCCACAAAAAGTTGCTGTTGTTCTTCTACTAGCTGCACCATCCTCCCATAAAGCGGCGAGTGATGTAATTCTGCCATTGTCATCTTATGGTGGGAATAGCTTGAAATGAGAATCCCAAGGGTGGGTCAGCAATACTGTGATGATATGAACTTGAAGTGTATGAATGTTGCACGGCGGGCGGGGGATGCTATTTTGCTCTATATTTAGCCTTATCTAGCAGAGTTCTTGCTGGTAACTATAGGATTCGCTGATGTTTGGGTAACGCCGAGCACGCAAGACGCCAAGAATTTATGTGTTTCGCAAATATCGCACTTCGATGTAGTGATCATGTGCAAAGCCTGGTACAAAGACATTCATTTAAAGATTTGGAGCTACAGGTCAACTGAGTTCTTATTCAATTTTATCACAAAACACTGGAAGGATACTCTAAGGACACCTATTTCAGAGAAGGTCATTGTTAAGATTGGTAAGCCAATAGGTGGGACTCGCTACAAGACCACGTTCGGGACTTCAAACGTTTGGACAGTATTCGTGTCAAAGTAAGACCAGAACTTTGTCCCGCTGACACTCGTATCTGCATATGAAACATACTGATCGCCGCTCCCAATCTGAGTCCGCCATCGAGAGACTTGTGTTCCGCTCGCTGGCGGTTGCGAGAAACCTGACATTTCGAAATTCAGGTACTGCGCACTGCCCCAATTTACAGCGACTATGACGAGTTTCTTGTTGGTTGCGTCATATGCTGCAACCACATTATCAGCTCCACCGTCAAGAATCTTCATTCCGGGCCGGATGTGTCGTGTGAATTGTGCCAAAACATAATATTTTTGCGAGACAGATCCAAGAGACCCTGCGTCGTTGTCGGCGTCGATGAGACCCCAACCACCACCATCCAGAACCTGCCAGTAAACCCAGCCGGTGGGATGAAGCCATCGGAAGTCGAGAATGAGATTACTGACGAGACCTTTGCCAGTGGCATCACTCTCTCCGTATTCGCTATTCCAAAGCTTCTTGCCTTTTGCTGAGACTAGACTATATAGCCCATCTCGGCTTCCACTTCC